ATTCTCCCATATAAGATCTACGTTAATGTCCCATTGCTGTGACGTTCATTCCCTCGTTATTTCTGTCGCAGTACACACTGCACTGATGACACGTCCCTGACAGCTCTACTATTAATATTTTCTTCTTGATTCAGTGACCACTGACGCTGCTGAACTTGGAATCCACTGATTTGTGACAGATGGTAGAAGCTCTGCAGTGTGAAAGCCTTCTTTTTACTCTCGTTTAATTGACAAAAAGTGTTACCAGAGTGGAAGCAGTGGCCTTATATGGCAACTTTAGGGGCTAATGATGAAACCTCACAAACGCACACTTCCTAATTAACAGGCACCTTTCAGACTGAAACAAACTGTTTGACAAGTTTGTGCAGTTAAGAGGCCTTGGGATACACTTGCACGAACAAGCCCAGAAAGAAGTACGAGGGTTAGGACAGCAATACAAAAATGTGTGTAGGAGCAATGCTGCACTTACAGGCCATGTCTTTGAGCTTGTCCACTGTGGGGAGGACAGGAGGTTCACAGTTTTGCAGGAAGAAGATGATCAGCAGTGTCAGAGCGTAGTTGTTGAGCAGGGGACTGGCACCACTGGGATCACCTACAAATCATAATGCAAGTGTGCTAGTGTTGACTACAGGAAAACTATCATTAGTGCAATCCTGTGCACGTGTATATATAGGATACAGTCAAAATAAAACATCTTTGTATAGGTATGGAGGGGCTTTTGTGGCAGTGTTTTGGTTTTAAAGGGCCAAATCAAGGATAGTGATACCAAAAACAACAGCTCTACTACACTGATGTTAATGGGAATCTATGCCAGTGTAAAGCCAGGTATTATGAAGCATTTTAGCCCTTCACAATCAATAATTCTAAAATGAACAAACATTTTAAAATATCATGTTTAATCTTTTTTTATTATTTTATTTGTATTTTCTTTATTTTTATTTATTATTTTATTATTATTTATTTATTTATTTATTTTAAATGGTACAGTACTCATTTTGAATCGGCTTGGTAAATCATTTCATGTTAACAATTTCAATTATGTAATCAAGCAAACTAACTCTGGAACTGCCAATCAAATCTCTGTTGACATCTCATGTCACCACTTACAAACTCTTTGTGACTGTGTTTCAGTTTTCTTTTAGTTTAAATGTTTAACCAGTAAGTTACCCTCAAGTTTTTTTGGGTTTATGGTACAAAAAATAATTTTCCGTGAAGTAAGTAGGTTACCTAAAAAAAAAGATTTTTTTTGGAACTTGGCAAACACTTTTTATGCAATCACCTAAAAATCTTAAATTTGGATTACAGTACTTACGTGCAACCCATCCCATCATGCTGTACTAATCACTCTGCACTAGTGCCTTGTTTAAAGCTGCATTGGCAGCTTGGAGGCAGTTCCATCAAAGGGAATAAGGGAGATATGCCCCAGGAGTAAAGGTAATTAGTGTGCTCTTTTATTCTATATCAGGAGACACAGACTCCAATATTACAGCACAAGAGGAGCTGCACTTTCTTCAATAATAAGGCACTAAAAGGTAATGCAAATCAGTGTGTCCAGACAGAGCCCAACGTGATCATAAGGGGCAAGTAAAGTTCTACTGACACCTGTTGACCAAAAAATTAAATAACTACCTAAATACACCTGATACAACACACTAATCTTAGGTTTAAAGAACTTCATCTGTTTTTAATCACAAACAGAACTAAAGCTTTAGGCTACGCTCTAAGGTGCAAGTCATTTCATCTTACCAGCCAGCTGCTTTTGCTTGGCCCAGTAGCGAATGGTGTACACCAGAGGCCTCAGCCTGTCCTCCATCCCTGAACAAAGCTGGAGGAAGCGGGTGTTCCTTACTGCTAGTCTAGTGAGGGATACAGGAAAGGAAAAGCATACAGTAATTCTGCTCCTTGTACAAGATGAAAACATTTATCACCACTGAAGACTTTTGATGCTACACAGTATGAAGTAAATCTAAAAAAATCCCTCAACTGACCTGTTGTTAATGGTGATATCCCCCTGCAGGTTAAGCTCGCGGTGATGGAACTTGACTACAGGGAGACGAGCGCTGCTGACCACGTGGACTTTGTGCACACTGGGGACACAGCGTCTCAGGATTGCTGCCACAAGGTCCAGGACCTCGGCTGGAGAGGCAGTGGACAGGTCAATATCAGACAGAATGGAGTCCTCAGAGTGGCCATCGTCTGACATTCCCTCCCCTGTCTGAAGAAAGAGGGAAGGAAGATGGTTCAGCACACAGCATGCCCCCCTATGAAGTTACATTGTTTAATATTTTGGCTGTAGATCGTCAGACCTGTTCTGCGGTGGACCTGGCTCGGGCTTGGAACACCTTTGTGTTTTCCAGGTCCAGGAACAGGTCCAAGTCACAGGAGTGGATGCCGAACGTGTTGACAGATGAGCCAAACGGCAGAATCTGGCTGTCTGCAACCCATTCAAACAGAGCATTCAAAGTGAGACAGTCAATTATCATCGTGTCAGACAAGACTTCAGAAACCGACTGTGTGTGTTTACAAAGGTCACCTGGGAAAAACTCTACGAAAACCTCTTGCAGGAGTTGAACCAGCAAGCCTCGGGCCTTCTTCTCGTTTTCTCCCAGCTGACATCGCTCTACAAGGTACTGCATCTGTGCATTCACCTGGAAAGAGAACCCACATTTTATAATTAGGTGGGTTATTCTCACTGACGAGCTAAAGTCCAAACACACAGTATATAAATCTAACAGTGTCTGACTGAGGTTTGTCGGTGCATATACATTGTTTCACGCGAGTATAAATGACAAAAGTACATCAGTTTCTTGTAGGGATGGGATGATAAACGATATTATTGCATATCACAATGAAAAACACTTCATTTCTATTACTGGGATAATTGTGAATATCCTCACATGACTTTATTTATAGATTATTATAAGATAATCGTGACATGAAATGTTTACATCGTCTTTCGCCTAGTTTGTTGTACACCAAGTTCCAACAGTATGTGCCAATAACATTAGTTAGTATATTATAAGCTGCACTTTATATTAAAAGACAGGATTTTATGGTTAATATAAGATATACTATAGTATGCAATTAAACTGAGACGTAATGAACATATATATTTGACAACAGGTTACTTACAGACAACAACTGACACAGCTGAGGTTTGAGACGGTCGAGAATTTGCTGGAGGTTCTGGAAGTCGTTCCTCTTCTTGGGAATCAACTTGAAATCCTTCTTTTCCCGAGGTTTGACGCGCAGCTTCAAGCCTTTCATCTGATGCTCAAGACAGGACAGGGTTGCCTGTACGCCGTCCGTCTCACTGAACTGGACGATGGCGAACACACCCTGTGAGCGCAGAGTGACACACCACAGTCAGATCACAACCCATATGCTGCTAAATGAACGTCAGTGCTCTTGGTATGGACACAAACTCACTTTGAGGCTAGAGACAAAAGTGAAAAAATGAGCTGTATCTCAGTTTGAACAGCTGACTGACCTTGTCTTTATCCATGATTACATCTGACACTGGCCCATACTGCTCGAAGTACTCGACTACGTCAGTCTGAGAGATGTCAGGCTTGATGCCACTGACAAACACACTGTGCTGCTCCTGTGTTTTCCTGGTAGCCCGCACGGTGCTCAGCGTCTTATGTTTGCGCCCTTTGACATGCTGATCCAAGCTGGGTACTGAAAGACATTAAAATATGAACAATGCTGCATCAGAAAAAACGTTAAAAATACCGTAGTTTCACATTTCAAAAGGTATAGTACAGCAAAAACATTGGATGATAGCTGTGTCTAGTAAAACATATTTAGCTAGTATAGTAAAGCTTTAGCTAACTGTTCGGATATAATAGCGTTGTTGTTTTTAAGTGAGAGCTCCTTTAAAGCTTCAAGATTTTCTTCGAGCAATACTGTAATACAGCAGGCTAGAAAGGTTTACAAAACGAGGTCAACTTCAAGTGTAATGGACTCGCATGTGGCTGAGTTAGCCTCCGATACTCACTGTTGGGTAAGTTGACGTTGCATAAAGTGCACTGGAAGCCTTTTGGCGTCGGTTTGATGTCGCTGTCCGCCTCCATGGTGGCAAAACGTGAAGTTTAACGGTAAAGCAAAAAGGAAATTAACCACTGAGTGAAAACAGTTGGAGGTCGACAGCTCCTCATGCGCCTCTCAAATCTCCCTCCAGCGTCAACTCTGCGTTTGTTTCCAGTCCGTCTCAAAAGTGCGTCCGGGTTGTTCTCGTGTTTTAACACAAAGTTCCGGTCAGTATAATTTTATCTATTTGTGCTGCAAACCCTCAAACAATGCGAATACTCTTTATCTGTATCTTTTCCTGAGACTTTTCTGTGAGAGGCGTAAGTTATGTGCTTATTTTAACTGTGCTCTATATTGAATGTTGGAATGTGTTAACGTACTGTTTACATAACCTACCTAAACCCAATTCAACGGTCATATTTGAAAAATGGCAAATGTTTTGAAAGATTTTTCTAATGCAATTTCCCCCCCGAAAAAACAACCCAAAGAATTGATGCCTTTAAATAAGTGAAGCTCAGTGGAGTTCTCTTCTCATCCATTTATCAATTCACACTTGCCTACCCCTGCTCGAAAGTAATGTATTATGTGCTGTGAATAAACCAATCTTATTTTCCCTCTTGCCTCAGCTTTAAAAATCAGACCTGTACCACACCGAGTTACAAATTGACAGCAAATATGATGGCATCTCTTCTGTCTCATCTTCCAGCACTTCCATCTACAGCAGGCTACATATAAGCATCAAGTCCCCAGTCACTTAAACGCCATATATGTATGGGTGTTTGGCACAACAAAGACAGTTTTGGACAGACAAATTCAGGCCATTTTTTTCATTGTACAAAAAAAAATTTAATAACTTTTTTCACCATAAAAATATCTGCAATGTAATGAAGTAAAGAATAACATACAACTTGTCACAACATATATGGTTAATACAAGATTCCCTGCTGAATTGAAAAAAGCAGTGCTTCATTTGAGTCTATAAAACTACTTTCTAAAACACCATACAATCTAAAAAAGGACAAGTACAAGAAGATTTTAAAAGGAGAAAAAAACCATTATGATACTGAATATATACAAATGCTTTTATTTCTTTACGGATCTTCCTCTTCTGGTTTTTGGCTGCGTCTCAGCCTCAACACCTTTCACCTCGCTTGTGGCTTCGTCAGTGGTTACATCAGCGACCTTTGCCCCTCGCCTGGCTCTCTTGGCGGGCTGAGCTTCGACAACTTTATCTGAGAGATCCTTCTCTTCAGTTTTGCTGGCATCCTCTGACACATTTTTGCTTTCAACTTGGTCTCCAAGTTTTGACTTCCTCCCTCGGACCGCCTTTACGGGTGTTCCTTTTGGAATGTTGAAGACTTCCAAGTCACTTTTCCACTTGACAGATCTTTTGGACATTTTTGTGTCTTCCACAACAGCATTGCTTAAATCTTCAGTGGGACTGGCATCGTCTGTTGTGGGCTTTGCTGCTGCACGTCTCCCCCTTTTGGCTGGCTCTACTGAAGCTGGTGCAACCTCTGATACCTGGACTGCAGATTCTGCGTTCGTCTCCTCGACAGGAAGAGTGGCACCACGGCGGGCTCTCTTGGTTGGAATGGCTTGTGAAACCTCATTTTTCACCCCCCTTGCTCTGCTATGTTTAATGACTGGAGCATCCAGCTCAGCTGTATTCTGCTCTTCAGCCTCCAGCTCAGGTTTCTCCTCTGGTACAACAGCAACCTCTTCAGCAACTTGTTTCCCTCTCCTACCCCGTTTGGGTTTGTCTGTGGAGCTGACAGCGGGGATCTCTTGGACCTCAGTGGATTCAGCAGGGGTTTCACTCTCAGTGTCTGCTTTTGCTTTCCGCCCTCCTCTCTTGGGTTTTGCAGCCACAGTAGCCTGTTCATCCATCTTCACTGGCTCAGCAACCAACGGAGCTTCAGCTTCCTCTGGAACAACCTCAACAGTTTGGACTTCTTCTCTTGGTTCTACATGTTCTGGCTCTGCCTTCCTGGTTCTCCTCAATTTCTTAACCGGCTCCTGGGATTTAGCAGTCTCAACTGAAGTTGTCTTCTCATCGTTTTCTAGCTTTTCTTCTTCCTGTTTGGTATTTCTTCCCCTCTTGGCCCTGACTGGAGGCTGAGACAGTGGTTTGGTCTCCACAGTGACAACTGTGTCTTCTGCCACCTCATTTTCTTCAACCGTATCAGGTTTTGTCTTTCTCCCTCGTCTAGGTTTCCCAAGAGTAGGATTGGACTTTTGAGGCTGAGCTTCTGCCATAAGCTGCTCACTCACAACTTCACTTTTCTCCTGCTCTGGTTGAGGTGGCTCAACCGGTGTTGGTTTAGTTTTTCTACCTCTAATGGGCTTCACAACAGCTTCCTCTGCAGGGGGTGCAGAATCATTTTCATCTTTTTGGGTATTTATGGGAGAAGTCTGGTCACTCACTGCTTTAGTGGAATTCTCAGTCACCAGTGTTTCCACAGCTTTCTCTGGTAGCATTTCAGGTTGATCAGAGGTGCTTTCTTGAGATTTTGCATTTTTGCGTCTTGACGTTTGTCTAACAGCAGGTGGTGCAGTAGCTTCAGTTTTCTTCCCTCCTCTTCTTCCTCTGACTGTAGCAGCGACAACAGGATCTTCAGAATGTTCTGTAACCTCCTGTTTATCCTCAGCTGATTTAGATTCCACCACTTTCGCCCGTCTGCCTCTAACAGATTTCTTCTGAACGACAGCTGCATCCATTTCTGTGACTGTGCAAGTCGCCGTCTCCACTTCAGGTAAGCTCTCGGTTGCAGGTGCCTGGGAAGGAGTTTCCATGACATCTGTTGATTTATTTTCATCACTTCCACTGGGCGCCACCTCCAGCTGATCACTGTAGACTTCATTAGACTCTGTTTCTAAAAAGAAATAGGAGAAAACAAAAGGAAAAATATTAAAATTTATAGTGGTTGAGCATTCAACTTAAATAACTGATCATTTAAAAATCACATACACAGGTCAGGATTTTAGTTTTTACTAATGAAATACTATGACAAGGACCAAACATTAATGCTGTAAAAATACTGACCGTAAAATTAATGTTTGTTTGGAGCTAATACAAATGTCACCATGTCTTGCTTTGGTTAATGATTTCACTTTCAGAACAAACCTTTTGCTGCGTCAGCATTGGAAACATCGTCACTGTGAGTACAAGGCACATCTTCCTGCTCTGGCACTGACTGTCCAGGTTGTTTAGTTTTTCTTCCTCTCTTGGGTTTCAACACAGCCTTCTCAAGGGGTGCTGTACTGTCATTTGCTTCATGGTTGACATCAACTGGAACACTCTGTTCACTCTCAGGTTCTGGCACCGTTTCAGTTTCAGCTACAACCTCTGGGACCATTTCGGCTTGATCATCAGAAGCTTTTTTGGCATTTCTTCCTCTTTTAGGCTTAAGGGCGACTTTGGAAGGCACGGAGGCAGTTTTCTCCATTGCAAGCTCAGCATCCTTGCTTTCAGTGGTCTTTGCATTTCTGCTTCTAGCCGTTTGCCTAACAGCAGGTGGTGCTGCAGCTTCAGTTTTTTTCCCTCTTCTTCCTCTGACTGGAGCGGGGACAACAGGATCTTCAGAAAGTTCTGTTGCCTCCTGTTCATCATCAGGTGATTTGGATTCAACCGTTTTTGCCTTTCTGCCCCGAACGGGTTTCTTCTCATGGTCAGGTTCAGTTGCAGTTGTCTCCATTTCTGAGATGTTGCCAGTAGCAGTCTCCACTTTAGGTTGTTCTTCAGACACGGTCTCATGTACTGCATCCACAGGTAAATTCTCATCCACTGCTGCTTGAGAGAGAGTTTCCATGGCTTCTGATGATTCATCATTATTGTGTTTGCTTGGCACCTCCTCTAAGTGGTCATCACTGACAACTTCATTGGCATCCGCTTCTAAAATATGATCAAAAAAGTTTGAGGTTTTAGCTGTTGAAAACAGGGTTCAAACATGTTTAACAATAGAATTACATAGCAGGCCGCATACACAAAGAAGAAACCTTCCTCTGTGCTTTAAGTGAGTTCTGAACTATAAACTCTTTTTGCATTCAGGTGTGACATTTATTAGTGTGTATAACCTGAATGTCCCACATTTCATTTTTTGTGTTGTGGTTCTTTTAGGCTGTCCAACAAATTCTTTTAGGGCAAGCTTTTTATTAAATATTGCAGACTTTCTTAATGTATGTCAAAATGAACAATTCCCATAACATTTCCAAAACACATCTCTCAAAGTCCATTTTCAGTTTGTCTGACATTACCTCGTTAGAAGTATTTTAACATTAACCAAATAGGATGAATATGTGTAATCTTACCCTTTTCCATCTCGAGTTGGGGAACATTATCGATCACATCTGATGGCACATCCTCTCGTGGCTCCTCATGCGCAAAGTCTAGTTCTTTATAACGAGGAGAGACGAGAACAAAAGAATAATCAGCCATGACAATGAAGGTTGCATAACAAAGCCAAGCAAGGTCTTAAACCAACTTAAGAAGCAACTATTACATTTAAAAACCAACTGACCTTTTGCAACATCTGTATCACAATCTGGTGTTTGATCTTCAACCTGTAAATAAAATCAGAATCAGTTTAGACAACAAGCACTCACCTGGGAATAATACTTAAATAAAAATGTCTCCATGGTTTACTTCAGGCAACGCAAATGTCTTGTAAAGGTTAGATTTAGTGAATTGAATATAGTCAGTCTGTGGCTGCACGGACAATACTAAGATAAATTGTTGATTTTATTCCCTACAAAACTGTTTTGTTCATGAAAAATGAAATGCGTCCAAATGTAGCTCGCTCAACTGTGAGAGTACCTGGCACTCATGTTTAATCCATTTAGCAAAATCTTTGTTTTTCAATCAAATTACTTCTACTAAAGTGACAGAGTTGCTAATATACAGTCTCAATGATAAGCTTTTTGTGGTTTTCACTTCATTGTTTTGGCTTGCCTGTTCCTACTGCTGATCCCATTCTCCCTGCCAGGTGCTGCCAGTTTCTTTCTAAAATACTTTAAGTAGTCATTCCAAAAGCAAATAATTAAAAAAGTCAAACCAAGTATTTTCATTATTACCTCATGTGTCTCCGTTTGTCCTGTGGGATCAGTCAGTGGCTCCATGAGCTCCTGAAGTCCCTCAAAGTCCTCAACTGGAGCACTCTTCTCCTTAGGCGTCTTCATTATTCTCTTGATACCCGTAAGACATACCAATGGGGAGCTCTTCACGTTGGGGGTTTTCAGGTCTTTAATTTCAGATTCTTGCATGTGTGCTGGTGTCTCCACAATTTCTTGGTCACCAGCATCTAAAGCTTTGGGAGTTTCCAGAGGGTTTTCTTGAAGGTCTTCGAAGGGTTCAGCCTCCTGTTGTGGGGTCTCGAAAATTCTCTTAACTCCGGTGAGGCACTCTTGTTGTTCAGGTTTCTGCTTAGGAGTCTTCAAAATATTCCCTCGCAGGTCTTCAATAGGCTCAGCTTTCTGTCTTGGGGTCTTCATGATTCTCTTCACTCCAGTGAGAAACTCCTGCTGTTGAGGCTTCTGTTTAGGAGTTGTTACAGAGGTTGTCTTCACATTTGTGCACTGCTGTTCACCAGAATCATCGGAGTGAGTCTCCATGGCAGGGATGGCGCTGACGAAGCTAGATTCTTGATCTCCATTGAGGAAGCGTTGGACTGCCTCGTTGCTGTATTTTACGTCTTTTACTGTAGACGAAACACTCAGTGGTGACACCATCATTTCACCTAAAAAAAGAAAAAAAGAAGTCACATTCCATAAGTTTATGCCAATTTAATGATTTCATTTGACTGAGCCTTTAGTCTTACTGATTATGCAGAATGCAAAAAACCTTCCCAACACACACACACACACTTTACCTGGCTCCTCTGGTGTGTTCAACACTGATGGTTCAACCACAGATGTGCCCAGACCGATCACTGGTGTCTTCATGGCACTGTTCTCATTGATTACAGCAGATCTCCTCCTCACGTTTACAGGGGTTTTATACATTTCAGAAATTCCTGAAAACACAAGGCACAATATTGAAGTCCAACATACAATACAAAGAACAAGTGTTGCCATTTGTTGGGCTGGGAAAGGGCATTTACCAGTCAAGTCCTCATCCATTTTCATGCTCTTTTTGGGGAGAGCAGTATTGGTGACCAGTCTTGGAGCAGCACCAGCTGATTGTACAACATTTTGTTTATGAGCTCTGCCCACAACAATTGTAACAGGTGAATTTGCATGTCCAGTGCTGATATGGTCAATGAGTTTTCTTGCAGGGGTCTGAAAGATTGAGTAAAATATAGTTATTGCAGTTTGTGTCTTTGTTGAAAGGTATATCATTTAGTTATGAAAAGTGAAGTCACAAGGAGCATAAGATAGTACATGTCCCTTATTTATAAAACAGGCCTAACAGGTTACAGTAGTTGCAAGACTAGAGAAAAACATTACAATGATGAAAATGTACTTTGTAATTACTAAGCAGTATTTTCCTTTACCTGTGGTTTGGACACAGCCTTCTTCACTGTCTTCTTGGTGACTGTTTTTTTTGCTGGAATGACCACTTGAGCCTTACTTTGTCCAAATTTCACCGTGTCTGCCCAGGAATTTTTGACTGAACGGAGAACAAAAAAGAAATTGTGACTCAGAAATTCTGTGCAAGGAAAACGACAAGATTTTTAATATAAACAGATACATTATAGATTTCAGGGTTTAACATACCTTTCATAGATGCCCTTGAAACTCCACTTCTTCTAAGCATTACTTTAACAGCACTCTTTGCCATACTGGGAGTCTTCCGTGAGGCGCTCTTCATGCTCTTCCTCCTCACGGGCAATTTAGGAGTTACAGTGACTTCAGTAAAAGCCTCTTCTGCAACTGGAGATGGTGTGCTGATCCGTGACACAGAGAAGCGACCTTGTACTGTAGGGGTCTGGACTCCTGGTGTTGGCTGTTTGTTGGCCTTAGGAGTCTCCACTTTGTTTCCAGAAGGAGATGGATTCTTGGATTTTGGTGACTTGTTTGCAGGAGTTGCTGCCTTGGGAGAAGGGGTCCTTGACTTTGGTGACTTCTGTGCAGGAGTTGCTGCCTTGGGTGATGGACTCTTGGATTTTGGTGACTTGCTTGCAGGAGATGCAGCCTTGGGAGAAGTGGTTCTTGATTTTGGCGACTTCTTTCCAGGACTTGCTGCCTTGGGAGATGGGGACCCGGATTTTGGTGACTTCTTTCCAGGTGTTGGAGTCTTAGGAGAAGCATTCTTGGCACTTGATGACTTTTTAGGTGATGGACTTCCTGTTTTTGAAGGACTTTCCTAAAAAACAAAAAATGAGATCCATTTTAAATGATATGATGCATTTTAACTATCAGGTCAAATTACTTAGTCATCATCTTCCGCTATAGTTTTACCTGTAGCAGGCCAATGGCTGATGCTCGTCTAAGGAGTGACAGTTTGGGTTTCAACAGACAGAAGCTTCTCCGTGGAGCAGCACCCTTGCATAACGGAGAGTCAGGAGGCAGCCGTTTGTCAAATAACTCCGGACTCAGCTGACCTCCAAAGGAAACGCGTTTCTTCTTTATTTGTTGTGTGGGCAAGTCAGTGGCAAGTTCTCCACTTTTGCGTTTTGTGGACATGTCTTGCACTAATGAATGAATTGAAAACATGATTGTAACAAACAAACATATTTTAAACATTCTTGAATAAATACTGTAATTTAATTAACTTTCAAAATGAAACAATATTTAATACCTTTTTCAACTTTCCCTGAGTTTCTTGGTGATGCCTTTCGAACCGGCTCTGTTTTGGGAGATGCCACTGCGGGTTTGGCTGGTGTGGCGTCCTTGCTTCTCCTTCTCATAGGTGACTTGGGCGTTTCAGTGGAAACCTGCTCAATAACCTCAGACACAGTGAACTTCTGGGGGGTTGCATGATTTTTCTTCTGGGCTGAAGGTGCCACTGGCGTGGCAGAATTTTCAGCTTCTGGTCTGGCCATCTCAGTATTAGGAACCTGGAAGGACTTCCTCTGCTTCTTAACAGACTTTGGGGTCCCCTTACTTATATTTTCAGCCTCTTCAGTAGTTTCATCAGCTCCAGAAGTGACTTTAGCTTCATCCTTCTTAGGAGTGCTTTTGTCTTCTGTGGAAGTGACCGGTTTTCCATCATTTTTCCTGACTGAACAAGGTTTTGGAGTGCAAAACCTGGAAGTAGGTGTTTGGAGGACACTGGCAGAAGATTTCCGAGGGGTCTTGACATCAAGAGATTTCTTGATCATTTGATACAGATCATTGAAGGGCGAGGCAGTCTTGTTTTGCAGCAGGCTATCGTCTCCCTTTGACTCCAACTCCATAGTTTTCTCCAGGGATCGCTGGATGTTGTCGTGGTTGGTTCCATCTTTCAGATGAGGGTCTGAAATATATAAAGCATTTTTCATAAAACAGGCTTGTACACTTGATAGTGTAAATACAAAACAATAGTTACACAAGAAAAACTACAGGCATCAACAGAACTGACTGGGTTGGACACAAGGGTTAAAGTGGGGTTGCAAAAACATTTCCCCTGATCTTTCAGATGTTTTATAGATTGAGCTAAATATAAACAAATGTAACTCCAAAGGCTGATGATTAGTAAAAGGGACTGTTTGACAGGTTGTCAGTCACTGTGTAATGTGAAATAGGCAATTCATGGTTCTTTGCCTGAAAATAGAAGTCTATCTAGTCTATTTCGACATAATCAATCTTAATTGCTTTAATTCCACCATGTTTAATCATGTGCAAAAGAAATACAATTTCTGGGAACACAGACTCTTAATTGTGCAACATTATGTTCAAATACAGCTAATTCAGAATAACCACTTCTCCACAGACTCACCTGTGTGCACTTCAGAGATCCTATTTTCTCCTGTTTCAGTGGTCAAAGTGTCCCCCACTTGCTGATCTTTAAGAACCTAGACATTAGACACTTTAATTAACACATTTATAAAGTAGTAAACTTCATCAGTGTAGACAAACTCAAGATGTTGGGAAGGTTGCAATGCTCTAGTGATAGATAAATGAGTTCATTACTTTGAAGGTTTCAGTTTTGCCTCCTATGGAAGACCTCTTCTTTGGTGTGGGTGCTGGTGGGTACTCAAACCTGAAATTACAATTAGCAACAAAAGTACAACCTCATTACATTTCGTCACAAAAATAAAAACATTTTCCTAATAACACTGCATGTGGTGTATGTGCTCTTTAAGTAGATTAATCTGTACATAGGCTACGTTCACACTGCAGGTCTTAATGCTCAATTCCGTGCGTCCGTCATCAAACNNTTGCTGAGATCCGATTTTTTTGCGTGGTTGTTCACATTATAATTTAAATGCGTCCGTCATCAGACTCCAGTGTGAACATTCCTACAGCCCCGAAGTGATCCGCATGCGTAGAAGAAGCACGCTGTTTACAGCATAGACATAATGTCTGTGGTTTACAGAAGGACATATGGATGTCAACGGTGTCTGCCATGCTTTCGTCAATTGTTCTGATATTGCCACGCCCTGGCGCAGAATTGTGACAAATGT